TGTTGACTAATAGTCTCACTGTCTCTAATTCAACACAAAACCCCATCATCCAATTAATTTTCATACCCATTACTGTCAATGCCAAATTAGGTTTCTCTGTTCCTGTTGAAGTGCTAAGTCAATAGTAGCCAATTCAAACACCTCACAATTTGGATCAAAGGGTTCCTTAGTCTTCTCCCCACTAGAGTCTACTATTTCTCCCTCAAGGACTAGTCACGCCTTATCTTCCTCTTTCTCACACTCAAAGCTGGGGGATGGACTCCTCTCTCCTGTCTGACTTTCTCTCATGATGGATTGCATGTCTCTCTGAGGCTATTACACAATTCAGTTATTTTCCCAACATACTCTCTGTAATCGGCCCATTGCAAAAGTGTCCTATGGGCATCCCCTGAAACCCACTGCCCTCTAACGGCAGCCCAAACCTTACTATTCCTGTTTTGGGGTGGGTCATTCTTTCTACCGCTCTGGCCACGTCCTGATGAGTTCATGGCCTGTCTGCTAAATGGCATATTATTATTATTACTGTATACATCTAAGGTTGCTTGGGCCCCTTTCATTCCCCGCCAATAGATTAGGTAAGGCTGTCAGTGGGTACTGGCCCCCTCAACTCTCTCTCTCTCTCTCTCACTGCTTATTTCTCCTTTACACACCTTATGTATCTGTTTAAGCATGGATTCGAGTTTATCTCCGTCCAGACGTCCCTCAAAACCATACCTCTCCCTCCACCTGGTTATATAATGGAGATTTAAAGCTATCCCTGGATTCCATTTTAATTACATCAAGCATTTCTCGTCCCCAGTAAATTCTGGGACCTCTTGTGAGGATTTGCCCCCCCCCCCCCATGGTTGGTACTGTTAAAAATCCCTTAGCCACCTCTTCTATATTATAAGTCAATTTAACAAGTAATTCTAAATAGCTTCACACAACACGGGGCGGCAGGTAGCCTAGTGGTTAAGAGCATTGTGCCAGCAACCGAAAGGTCGCCGGTTCCAATCCCCGAGCCGACTAGGTGAAAAACCTGCCGATGTGCCCTTGAGCAAGGCACCCAACCCCAATTGTTCCTGTAAGTCGCTCTGGACAAGAGCGTCCGCCAAACGACTCAAATGTAATGTAAAAGAACAACACCTCATAAGGAGTGCCCAGCAGGAGTCCAATTCCTATCAGAAAACATACATACAAACATTCAGACACTCCCAATCTCTCCCAGGGGGAAAAAGTTCTTCTTCACCCTGAGTGAGATTGTTGTTCCCATAAGGGTTTCTTCATTGTGTTGTCAGGATTGGTTCTCGCTGCTCAAATCAGCCCTGACTTCTGTCAGTGATCTAGAAGGAGTGGGGGCTGGTGTGCAATGAGTTAGATGGTGTCAGTGTGCGCCTAATTTACCTCTGACCTGGACTGAGTGTGAAGTAACCTCCTTCACTTCGTACGGTCCAGTCCACCTGGGTTCCAGCCACTTTCTCTTGTGGACTTTCACCCTCACCCAGCCTCCCATTTTTTACCTTCAGTGGTGGCGTGTTACCCGACAGCTCCCCCTCTTGGGCCTTCTACACCTGAGAAGAGAGTGCTGCAGAAAATTCCGTCAATTTCATCACATATTCAGTCATTCCTATCTGTTGTACATCAAGGGCGGGCATAAGACCTCCCTCCCTTGGTGGACCTTGCATTTCTCTCCCTTACATTATCTCATGAGGAGAGAGATGGGTCCCTGCCCCTGGTGATGCTCTCATAGCCATCAAAACCAGTGGCAGGGCTTCAACCCATGTCAATTTTGTCCCTGCACAAACCTTATTCAGTTTCATAAGTCTCACTCATTTACCACTGTTCACTTTAACTACATCCTTCACCGAACGAATATTCGAGCTTTTGGATAAGGCTTATACACTTTAAGACTATCGAAATCCTATATATTTTATTTTTATTTTATTTTTACTAGGAATGTTCATCATTAAACAATATCCATTAAACAATTGACATTTACACATCCGACCCTATTGGTACATGGAGCGTTTGTCATTAAGTAATACACATTTCTATCTCTCCTAGCCACACAGTTCCCCCCCCGGTCTGACTCTCTGGATCCTTCTCTCGTGAACCCACTCTCCCTGTCATTCGTTGTTCTATGTATTCATTGAATTTGGGTATGGTTATGTTTGGTCCTGCCATCTTGCTTTCTCTATCTTGGATGTATTATCGGTATCAAATACAGACTTATCTCATGTATGACACCCTCGCATATAAAGAGGCTAATTTATATAATTTGTAATGCAATTATTATCATAAGAATCAGAATTCCAGTCACATATACCAATGCAGTAATCTCTACACACCGCACACACCACGCTTTAGTTATCTCACGCTTGTTCTAGAATCATGCACAACTTCAATATCAGTCTCCCCAGTCCCCGGTTCCTGAAACCCTAGGTCAAATTCACTCAATTCCACAGATTGGTGTTCGGTCTCATAAGTCTCACTATAACTTCCCATCATTCATTACACGTTATAATACATCAAAACACACAGCCAAAAATTACACGTTATAATACATGATACAACCATCAGTATTCAGTCACTGGTAAGACTCATAATATACAACCATCAGTATTCAGCCACTGGTAAGACTCTCCTAATATACAACCATCAGTATTCAGTCACTGGTAAGACTCTCATAATATACAACCATCAGTATTCAGTCACTGGTAAGACTCTCCTAATATACAACCATCAGTATTCAGTCACTGGTAAGACTCATAATATACAACCATCAGTATTCAGTCACTGGTAAGACTCTCATAATATTCACAGTTCTCAGTGTTCACAGTACCAGATATCTCATTTATGCCTTAATTCATTAGGATGGAAAATTATTTAACAAGTATTCATTCTCACGCTCAGTACTACTGATCATAATTTGGTATTGGTCTATAATACAATATGCAAGATTTCGTTTTAACAGGCTCTGCATACCTTTTTAGAAGAGCGCGCTCTGATCAGGTTCCTGAGCCAAGACGAATAGTTGATTTCTCCAGGATTTTCAGGTCACTCTTCCGTCTGTTTTTAGATCGATGATTTGCCTTTTCCTCTCGCACCAACTTTTAGATCGAATTAAAACCATCCTCTGCTACCATTTTTGTTGGTGAAACCATACAGGAGAGGAAGTACAGAACCAACGACGCTAGACGGAGAGGAATATGTTTAAGCAAAAGGCAGTTTATTAAACAACAGAGATAGCTGGTACTGCTCAAGCTACATGCATGGACCCATTCAGTTGCCTCTTATCGAGACAGTTGAAAGGGATCAAAAACAGAGTTTTCAGCATTACTTTATACAATGCAACACAAAGGAAGGGGTCCTTCTTCTAGTCCCTTGATTGGTTCCGGAGGCGTAGGAGGCGGGTCTGCTCTGTCCAGAGTAGAAGCCCCATTTTGTGCACGGCAGAGTCCTCTGCCCTAGGCACCGACCAGTAGAAAGATATACAGTTTGTGTGTGTGCGTAACTCGTGAGGCATGAGGATGAGTGTGCGTATGCATGGAGATGTGTGTGTGAATGTGTGTATGTTCTCAAAGGAAAGTCTCGTGGGGAGCAACCAGATTGTGGCCTGTGGCGTGGGTGTTGTCCTTGAGAAGATGTTGGCTCTGTCCATTGTTCTTGCATAGGAACAGCATTGATTGAAAACAAGCTCCTAACATTAAAATGGGTCATGCACAAGATTTTTAGTCAGACCAAGCTATAACATTTTAATATTTACTACGACAGACACTTTGGGATTTTGGCAATGAAGCCCTTTATCTTCTTCCCCAGAGTCAGAGGAACTCATGGATACCATGTTTATGTCTCTGCATCCAGTATGAAGGAAGCAGTGGTGGAAAAAGTACCTAATTGTCATACTTGAGTAAAGTAAAGATACCTTAATAGAAAAGGACTCAAGTAAAAGTGAAAGTCACCCAGTAAAATACTACTTGAGTATTTGGTTTTAAATATACTTAAGTAGTAAAAGTAAATGTAATTGAAAATGTAACTCCCGAGTGGCGCACTGCATCGCAGTGCTAGCTGTGCCACTAGAGATCCTGGTTAGAATCCAGGCTCTGTCATAGTTGACCGGGAGACCCATGGGGCGGCGCACAATTCGTCCAGGGTAGGGGAGGGAATGGCCGGCAGGGATGTAGCTCAGTTGGTAGAGCATGGTGTTTGCAACACCAGGGTTGTGGGTTTGATTCCCACAGGGGGCCAGTATGAAAACAAAAAAAATGTATGTGCTCACTGTAAGTTGCTCTGCATAAGAGCGTCTGCTAAATGACTTAAATGTAATTGCTAAAATATACTTAAGTATCAAAAGTAAACGTATGAATCATTATAAATTCCTTATATTAAGCAAACCAGACGGCACCATTATATTATTATTTTTTTTTTTTTACAGATGGCAAGGGGCACGCTCCAACACTCAGACATCATTTACAAATGAAGCATTTGTGTTTAGTGAGTCCGCCAGATCAGAGGCAGTAGGGATGACCAGGGATGTTCTCTTGATAAGTGCATGAATTTGACCATTTTCCTGTCCTGCCAAGCATTCAAAATGTAACGAGTACTTTTGGGTGTCAGGGAAAATTTATGGAGTAAAAAGTACATTATTTTATTTAGAAATGTAGTGAAGTAAAAGTAAAAATTTACAAAAATATAAATAAGAAAAAACTACTTAAGTAGTACTTTAAAGTATTTTTTCATAAGTACTTTACACCACTGGAAGGAAGTTAGAGTTAGTTTTGCGAGCCAATGCTAATGTTTGTCTATGGAGATTTTATACACCTGTCAGCAACGGGTGTGGCTGAAATAGCCGAATCCACTATTTTGAAGGGGTGTCCACATACTTTTGTATATATAGTGTATCATTGATAACAAAATTCAAAAAAATGGATGTAGCAACTGCAAAATGGCACCTTTAACAAATGATGTAAAATGGTCTAAATAAAATAACAACCTGATGTGTCTGTATGTCCTCTCCCCAGTGTCCCAGTGTGACCTACGACCCCCTCCACAAGTCTACTCGTGACTTCCCTGATGACGTAGTGAGTTTCATGAGGGGTCACCACCTGATGTGGGAACCCGTCCTACCCGTCACGCACCGCCCGGTCTTTACCCTTGTCAACGTGTCCTACACCCTACGAAGGGTGGTAGTGGATCGGGTGGACGCTGTGGATGGACAGTATGATGTACTACACCTGGGCACAGGTAAGAGAGTGTAATAATGATAGTATATAGTATTCAGTAAGAGAGTGTAATAATTATAGTATATAGTATTCAGTAAGAGAGTGTAATAATTATAGTATATAGTATTCAGTAAGAGAGTGTAATAATTATAGTATATAGTATTCAGTAAGAGAGTGTAATAATTATAGTATATAGTATTCAGTAAGAGAGTGTAATAATTATAGTATATAGTATTCAGTAAGAGAGTGTAATAATGATAGTATATAGTATTCAGTAAGAGAGTGTAATAATTATAGTATATAGTATTCAGGAAGAGAGTGTAATAATGATAGTATATAGTATTCAGTAAGAGAGTGTAATAATGATAGTATATAGTATTCAGTAAGAGAGTGTAATAATTATAGTATATAGTATTCAGTAAGAGAGTGTAATAATTATAGTATATAGTATTCAGTAAGAGAGTGTAATAATTATAGTATATAGTATTCAGTAAGAAAGTGTAATAATTATAGTATATATTATTCAGGAAGAGAGTGTAAAAATTATAGTATATAGTATTCAGTAAGAGAGTGTAATAATTATAGTATTCAGTAAGAAAGTGTAACAATTATAGTATATAGTATTCAGTAAGAGAGTGTAACAATTATAGTATATAGTATTCATTAAGAACGTGTAATAATTATAGTATATAGTATTCAGTAAGAAAGTGTAATAATTATAGTATATAGTATTCAGTAAGATAGTGTAATAATAATAGTATATAGTATACAGTATTCAGTAAGAGAGTGGGTCAATGTGCCCTGCATCCTACACAGGGTAGTAAACATGCCCTAAACCCTAAACCCTAAACCCTACGCAGCGTGGTAGTGGACAGAGTGGATGCAGAGGATGGACAGTATGATGTCCTCTATCTAGGAACAGATACCAGATACCAATACAGTATGATATCCTCTATCTAGGAACAGATACCAGATACCAATACAGTATGATGTCCTCTATCGATACCATACAGTATGATGTCCTCTATCTAGGAACATATACCAGTTACCAATACAGTATGAGCTCTATCTAGGAACAGATCCAGATACCAATACAGTATGATATCCTCTATCTGGGAAACAGATACCCAATCCCAGTGATGTCATCTATCTAGGAACAGTTTACCAGATACCATACAGTATGATGTCCTCTATCTAGGAACAGATACCAGATACCAATACAGTATGATGTCCTCTATCTAGGAACAGATACCAGATACCAATACAGTATGATGTCCTCTATCTAGGAACAGATACCAGATACCAATACAGTATGATGTCCTCTATCTAGGAACAGATACAAGATACCAATACAGTATGATGTCCTCTATCTAGGAACAGTACCCAGATACCAATACAGTATGATGTCCTCTATCTAGGAACAATACCAGATCCAAATACAGTATGATGTCCTTATCTAGGAACAGTCCCCATACAGTATGAGTCCTTATCTAGGAACAGATACCAGATACCAATACAGTATGATGCCCTCTATCTAGGAACAGATACAGATACCAAAATACAGTATGATGTCCTCTACAGGAACAGATCCCAGATACCAATACAGTATGATGTCCTCTATCTAGGAACAGATACCAATACAGTATGATGTCCTCTATCTAGGAAAGATACAATACAGTATGATGTCCTCTATCTAGGAACAGATACAATACAGTATGAGTTTTCTCTAGGAACAGGAACAGATCCAATGGGGTAAGAGAAGTTTTATCCCTTTGGGGTCAGGGTTCCCTTGAAAACCTAAAAACAAACCCAACAACTTTCTCCGAGAGAGAAGCAAACTCTTCAGGCTACTTTAACCGCGGGTTAACTAGGAAACCCGGGCAACCAGAGCCATGGTAAGAAAAAAAACCCCTATTATAAGAGTGGGGGGAACCCCAATAAGAAACCTTTTAAAAAAGGGCCCTTTAACCCGTAGGAAAAAAAAAGGAAAAGGGGGAGGAAGGAGTGGCAACAGCCAGAGGTTACATGTCTCCTGAAAAACACACACACAAACAACACACACACAAACTCTCGCGCTATCTATATCCGGAGCGCGCTGCGAGCAGAGAGAGAGAGAGAGCGCGAGAGATTGATAGCGATATATCTCTCCTCAGACGCGCGCGAGATATGCGGTCGACGACTTCTCTTTCTCTCGATCTCGTCTCGCTCTTCTCTATCTAGCTATCTATCTCTCTATTGATTCTATCTCGCTATCTCTCTCTCATCTATAATAACACTGACACTACCAAGCCCCCACCAATCTTGGTCAACCTCTCAAGTGCAGATCGCTAGTTCCTCAGCACACAGAATAGAGAGAATGTGTTTGCCAAGGGTGTCTGTCTTAAAATGATTCACTTAATCAGGGTAGAGTTTAAGGGAAACACGCAGTCACAAGCGCGCACACACACACACACACACAAACGGCCAAGCGTGGGACGAGGGCGCATGCACAAAACACTCACCACACGCACACACGCTAGCTCTCACAGTACATACACACAACAAATTCCTGGAAGGGGTTGGCTCTTCTTGATAATGTCAGGATGGTCCCAGACCAGTGACCCTGGGAATGACCTCTGATCTAAAGGTTAACCCTCTGAGGTTATATATTCTAACATAAATGAATCACACGCTACCCACGCTATCCCTGTCAAGGAGATTAGGTTTGGGCCAACACACATAACTTAACTAGTTCAACTTGAAGAAGCACACACACACACACACACACACACAGGCATGCAAAGCAGGGACTGTTGAAGCAACACAGACATAGACACAGACACATGCATACACACACACACACTACAACACACGTACTATACACACACACACACACACACACATGGATTTATGTTGTAGATATGTGGTTGTAGAGTAGGGGCTTGAGGGCACACACTTCATGTGTTGGGAAATCTGTTGTGTATGTATCGTAATGTTTTTATTTAATTTTTATTGTATAAACTGCCTTAATTTTGCTGAACCCCAGGAAGAGTAGCTGCTGCCTTGGCGGGAAGTAACAGGGATCCATAATAAACCCCAGGAAGAGTAGCTGCTGCCGTTGGCGGGAAAGTAGTATAACAGGGATCCATAATAAAACCCAGGAAGGAGTAGCTGCTGCCTTGGCGGGAAGTAACAGGGATCCATGATAAACCCCAGGAAGAGTAGCTGCTGCCTTGGCGGGAAGTAAAACAGGGATCCATGATAAACCCCAGGAAGAGTAGCTGCTGCCTTTGGCGGGAAGTAACAGGGATCCATGAATAAACCCCAGGAAGAGTAGCTGCTGCCTTGGCGGGAAGTAACAGGGATCCATAATAAACCCCAGGAAGAGTAGCTGCTGCCTTGGCGGGAAGTAACAGGGATCCATGATAAACCCCAGGAAGAGTAGCTGCTGCCTTGGCGGGAAGTAACAGGGATCCATGATAAACCCCAGGAAGAGTAGCTGCTGCCTTGGCGGAAGTAACAGGGATCCATGATAAACCCCAGGAAGAGTAGCTGCTGCCTTGGCGGGAAAGTAACAGGGATCCATGATAAAACCCCAGGACGAGTAGCTGCTGCCTTGGGCGGGAAGGTAACAGGGGAAACCGGAAGAGTAGCTGCTGCCTTGGCGGGAAGTAACAGGGATCCATGATAAACCCCAGGAAGAGTAGCTGCTGCCTTGGCGGGAAGTAACAGGGATCCATAATAAAACCCAGGAAGAGTAGCTGCTGCCTTGGCGGGAAGTAACAGGGATCCATGATAAATACTAATACAGAGCTAGTACGTAACGAGGACACCACAGCATCAATCGATCAACGCGTGACGCACACAGTCAGGCAGGGTGGTTGGTTGGTTTGTGACCTTTGGGGTCTTTTAACTCACCGTCTCCATTAAAGATCACCAGCTGTACACTAGGAGACGTCAACCGCAATCGATTGTTATTACCTATGTGGGAATATATCCACACTCATCACGGGGGCGGCAGGTAGCTTAGTGGTTAAAGAGCGTTGTGCCAGTAACCGAAAGGTCGCTGGTTCTAATCCCCGAGCCGACTAGGTGAAAAATCTGCCGATGTGCCCTTGAGCAAGGCACTTAACCCTAATTGCTCCTGTAACTCTCTCCATTCCTCCTCTAGATGACGGCCAGGTGCTCAAGGTGGTGTCTATTCCCAAAGAGGACAGGGAGCCCGAGGAGATCATTCTGGAGCAGCTGACTGTGTTTCAGGTGAGCTTCAGCGTCACCATTACGTCTTCCCTTACGTGTCCCACTACCAAGTCAGAGTTTCAACTTCAGGAGCAATAGGAAACTTCATCTGAATTGGGGGACCTAGTGCAGAAAACGTTACACCCAACGGCCTGTACACTTCACTGACATTGAATAGTGAGCAATACGGTAGTAGCACCGTCTTGATACCATCTCTGATAGGCGAAGTGGAATATCTACCATAGTAAAAGCCTAGATTTAATCAGATCAAGCGTTAACCTGGCGACAGGTGGTGTCATCGGTGTAACTGCGTTGGAGCTGTCAAAATCGGTGAGCAGCTGCTCTTCAAATCAAATTTTATTTGTCACATACACATGTTTAGCAGATGTTATTGCGGGTGTAGTGAAATGCTTGTGTTTCTAGCTCCAACAGTGCAGTAATATCTAACAATTCACAACAATACACACAATACACACAACCTAAAAATAAAAGAATGGAATTAAGGAATATATAAATATTATAAATATTAGGATGAGCAATGTCGGAGTGGCATTGACTAAAATACAGTAGAATAGAATACAGTATATACATATGAGATGAGGAAAGCAAAAATATGTAAACATTATTAGAGTGACTAGTGTTCCATTATTAAAGTGGCCAGTGATTCCAAGTCTATGTATATGGGGCAGAAGCCTCTAAGGTGCAGGGTTACGTAACCGGGTGGAAGCCACCTAGTGATGGCTATTTAACAGTCTGATGGCCTTGAGATAGAAGCTGTTTTTCAGTCTCTCAGTCCCAGCTTTGATGCACCTGTACTGACCTCGCCTTCTAGATGATAAGCGGGGTGAACAGGCAGTGGCTCGGGTGTTGTTGTCCTTGATGATCTTTTTGGCCTTTCTGTGACATCGGGTGCTGTAGGTGTCCTGGAGAGCAGGTAGTTTGCCCCCGGTGATGCGTTGGGCAGACCGCACCACCCTCTGGAGAGCCCTGCGGTTGCATTTACATTACATTTTAGTCATTTAGCAGACGCTCTTAACCAGAGCGACTTACAGGAGCAATTAGGGTTAAGTGCCTTGCTCAAGGGCACATTAACGTCATTTAGCAGACGCTCTTAGCCAGAGCGACTCACAAATTGGTGCGTTCACCCTATAGCCAGTGGGATAACCACTTTACAATTTGGGGGGGGGGGGGGGGGGGGGGGGGGGGGGGGGGGTTAGAAGGAATACTTTATCCTATCCCAGGTATTCCTTAAAGAGGTTGCGGTTGGTGCAGTTGCCATACCAGGCGGTGATACAGCCCGACAAGATGCTCTCAATTGTGCATCTGTAAAAGTTTGTGAGGGTTTTAGGTGCCAAGCCAAATTTCTTCAGCCTCCTGAGGTTGAAGAGGCGCTGTTCCGCCATCTTCACCAAACTGTGGGTGGACCATTTCAGATCATCAGTGATGTGTACGCCGAGGAACTTGAAGCTTTCCACCTGCTCCACAGCGGTCCCGTCGATGTGGATAGGGGCGTGCTCCCTCTGCTGTTTCCTGAAGTCCTCGATCAGCTCCTTTGTTTTGTCAACATTGAGGGAGTTATTTTCCTGGCACCACACTCCCAGGGCCTTCACCTCCTCTCTGTAGGCTGTCTCCTCATTGTTGGTAATCAGGCTACTGTTGTGTCGTCTGCAAACTTGATGATTGAGTTGGAGGCGTGTGTGGCCACGCAGTCATGGGTGAACAGGGAGTACAGGAGGGGGCTGAGCACGCACCCTTGTGGGGCCCCTGTGTTGAGGATCAGGTGTTGTTTCCTACCTCTCAAAGCACTTCATGATGACAGAAGTGAGTGCTATGGGGCGACAGTCATTTAGTTCAGTTACCTTTGCTTTCTTGGGTACAGGAACAATGGTGGACATCTTGAAGCAAGTGGGGACAGCAGACTGGGATAGGGAGAGATTGAATATGTCCTTAAACACTCGAGCCAGCTGGTCTGCGCATTCACTGAGGACACGGCTAGGGATACCGTCTGGACCGGCAGCTTTGCGAGGGTTAACACGCTTAAATGTCTTACTCACGTTGGCCACGGAGAAGGAGAGCCCACAGTCCTTGGTAGTGGGCCGCGTCGGTGGCACTGTGTTATCCTCAAAGCGGGCGAAGAAGGTGTTTAGCTTGTCCGGAAGCAAGACGTCGGTGTCCGCGACATGGCTGGTTTTCCCTTTGTAGTCTGTGATTGTCTGTAGGCCCTGCCACATACTTCTCGTTGAAATGCGACTCCACTTTGTCTCTATACTGAAGTTTTGCCTGTTTGATTGCCTTACAGAGGGAATAACTACACTGTTTGTATTCAACCATATTCCCAGTCACCTTGCCATGGTTAAATGCGATGGTTCGCACTTTCAGTTTTGCGCGAATGCTGCCATCTATCCACGGTTTCTGGTTAGGGTAGGTTTTAATAGTCACAGTGGGTACAACATCTCCTATACTCTTCCTAATAAACTCAGTCACCCTATCCGTGTATTCGTCAATGTTATTCTCGGAGGCTACCCAGAACATATCCCAGTCAGCGTGATCAAAACAATCTTGAGGCGTGGATTCCGATTGGTCAGACCAGCGTTGAATAGTCCTTAGCGCTGGTTTGAGTTTTTGCCTATAGAAAGGGAGGAGCAAAATGGAGTCGTGATCATATTTGCCGAAGGGAGGGCGGGGGAGGGCATGGTAGGCATCCCGGAAGTTGGAGTAGTAGTGGTCAAGTGTTTTAGCAGCGCGAGTACTACAGTCAATGTGCTGATAGAACTTCGGCAGCGTTTTCCTCAAATTTGCTTTGTTAAAATCCCCAGCTACAATAAATGCGGCCTCAGGATATGTGGTTTCCAGTTTGCATAAAGTCCAGTGGAGTTCTTTGAGGGCCGTCGTGGTATCGGCTTGTGATCATTGTCACGAAGCCACACCCGTCCTACTCGTGTTAGAAGTTTAAAACGAGAAAGTGGGCTAGGGCATAGGGTCTAGGGTCTCTTTGGAATTAATCAGCCTGAATAGGATTACTTTTCTCAAGTGTCCCAGTACCATGTTGACCTGCCTGTCTGCAATGTGATCTGTTGACCTGCCTGTCTGCCATGTGATCTGTTGACCTACCTGTCTGCCATACCATCTGTTGACCTTCCTGTCTGCCATACCATCTGTTGACCTTCCTGTCTGTCATGTGATCTGTTGACCTTCCTGTCTGCCATGTGATCTGTTGACCCACCTGTCTGCCATGTGATCTGTTGACCTACCTGTCTGCCATACCATCTGTTGACCTGCCTGTCTGCCATACCATCTGTTGACCTGCCTGTCTGCCATACCATCTATTGACCTACCTGTCTGCCATGTGATCTGTTGACCTACCTGTCTGCCATACCATCTGTTGACCTTCCTGTCTGCCATACCATCTGTTGACCTGCCTGTCTGCCATGTGATCTGTTGACCTACCTGTCTGCCATGTGATCTGTTGACCTTCCTGTCTGCCATACCATCTGTTGACCTGCCTGTCTGCCATACCATCTGTTGACCTACCTGTCTGCCATGTGATCTGTTGACCTACCTGTCTGCCATACCATCTGTTGACCTTCCTGTCTGCCATACCATCTGTTGACCTGCCTGTCTGCCATGTGATCTGTTGACCTACCTGTCTGCCATGTGATCTGTTGACCTGCCTGTCTGCCATACCATCTGTTGACCTGCCTGTCTGCCATACCATCTGTTGACCTGCCTGTCTGCCATACCATCTGTTGACCTGCCTGTCTGCCATACCATCTGTTGACCTGCCTGTCTGCCATACCATCTGTTGACCTGCCTGTCTGCCATACCATCTGTTGACCTGCCTGTCTGCCATGTGATCTGTTGACCTGCCTGTCTGCCATACCATCTGTTGACCTGCCTGTCTGCCATACCATCTGTTGACCTGCCTGTCTGCCATACCATCTGTTGACCTGCCTGTCTGCCATACCATCTGTTGACCTGCCTGTCTGCCATACCATCTGTTGACCTGCCTGTCTGCCATACCATCTGTTGACCTGCCTGTCTGCCATATGATGTGAGCTAAGTGTTTCTGACATCAGCACTGGCTGTTGTTTCCATTGGGGCAATCACATACTTTACGAAACGAACTAACTAACTAATTAACTAACTAATTAACTAACTAATTAACCCCCTAAGAGGAAAAACAGATACAGATGCTTCCCAAATAAACAGACAGACTAACTCCTCTTATGGAAGAAGAGGAGAGAGAGGGAAGAGGGGGAGAGAGAGGGAAGAGGGGGAGAGAGAGGGAAGAGGAGGAGAGAAGGGAAGCAGGAGGGAGCGATGGAGAGGAGGGAAGAGGAAGAGGAGAGGAAGAGAGAGGAGAGGGACAGAGGAGGAGAGAGAGGGAAGAGGAGGAGAGGGAAGGATGAGAGAGGGAAAGAGGAGGAGAGAGAGGGAAGAGGAGGAGAGGAGGAGAGAGAGGGAAGAGGAGGAGAGAGAGGGAAGGGGAGGAGAGAGAGGGAAGAGGAGGAGAGAGGAGGGAAGAGGAGGAGAGAGAGAAGAAGGGGGAGGAGAGGAAAAAAAGGGGGAGAGGAGAGAGGAGGAGAGGAGAGAAGGAGAGAGGGGAGAGAGGAGGAGAGAGGAGAAGAGGAGAGAGGGAAAAGAGGAGAGAGAAGAGGAGGAGAGAGAAAAAAGTGGAGGAGAGGAAGGAGAGGAGAATAGGGGAGAGGAGGAGAGAGAGAGAAGAGGGGGAGATGAAGGAGAGGAGGAGAGAGAGAGAAGAGGGGGAGAGGAGAAGAGAGAGGGAAGAGGGGGAGAGGAAGGAGAGGAGGAGGAGAGAGAGAGAAGAGGGGGG